GCTTTCTCCTTAAGTGTCAAGGGGAGAATGACGATGACCATTCTCCCTTTGACACTTAAGGAGAAAGCCATGATGAAGGCCTGAACTTCAGGTCGAAACGTCGGCATATGTAAAAAATAAATATTATAATTTATTTTTTGCCTTCCTTTTTTGACTGAGCACCCCAACTATTCTTCTCTTCATTATCCACGACAGTCAACCAATTACCAATTATAAAATTCATTTTATGATGTAACAATTTATTATTCGGGAATCTTGGAAATTTAACCGATTTTTAAAAATATTTTCTAAACATTGTATAAGAAAGTAAAATTAGTAATTAATAAATATAAATAATAGAATTTTATTATTATGTTTTCTTCGGTAGGCTGTTCAGACCTTGTTTATCTTTGGCTGCCTAAACTTACCTACCCCATACATATCTGTCTTGTTATACTGTGTTCCAATTTCCTGCACGCAGCTTAAACACTTTTTTTTTCCATTCCAACGATTATAAAAATATTGTGCACATATTTGAAAGTGTTTAAAGGTATTTCTTTTATTTATTGTAAATTTTAGGTGATAATTAAAAACAATTGTAGTAACGTAGCCGTATTTATTTTTAAAAAAAACAGAGAAATAATAAAAAAGCCGTCAACCTTTGGCCAATTCAGGCATCATGAGAACAGAACAGAAAAGCAAGTACAAGACACATCATTATCAGTCTTTCGATGATGTCAGTCTTAATGTTCGCTACATCGAAGTTGACCTTCTTTTTTTTTTCTAAATTTTCTTTCTTTTTTTTTAAATTTCTAGATCTGTGTGGTTGAAATTTTTCCTATTTTAACTGAATTTCTGTCTCTTGGTGAGTTTTTTTTTTTTTTATGAATTTATATTAATTTATTGTAAATCATCTATATTAATTTCCCTCTTTTTATTAATATATTGTACGAATGAACACCTGTTGCTCTTCAATAAGGGAGATTGTATTACTACTCATTAAACTAAATAAATTTTTTTTAAAAATACAAGATTTTCCATCTACGCTAATAGTTGTTATTGGAATGAATTAGTCGGTTTAACCAATTCTTTTTAATCTCCATTTTTGCTTATCTTATCAGAGTCTACTAATGTTGAAAATATGATAATATAAAACAAAAAAATATATATGCATAACAGCTTGTATAAGATGCATTGTAAGCATAAAAACGATTTGAAATCATTTTATTTTTTAACAATTAAAAATTAAAATGATCAAAAAGTTTATTTTGAGATTTATATATATATATAATCTCAGTCCTCCACCTTCCAACTGTTGACCAACATATAATGATCCTTTATCAACGATTTTAGACTAATTTAAACGGACATAATAACAGACTAATAACAGACATGGCCACAGCTGACATACCTCAGAACATGAGGAGGAGACTAAAAAGGCATTGGATGAGAGATCTCCTTCCTTAAATAACCTAAGTAATTGAAACATGTTAGGGAAGAAGTACTGCTGAGTACTTTCCTTCCTCATGGCTGTCATGTCATTATTTCCTGTATCGCCACCACATTTGCTGATTGTCAACAATAAGTTGACAGCCGCAAATACATTTTTATTGACACACATATATATATATATATATATATAAAATATTCTTTTTTAATTTTTATACCATATAAAATATATTTTTTATAAAAATAATGTATGATTGATTTATTGTTTTGTTTTCACCCTCCTTCGGGTATGGGAAAACTATTGTACACTCCGTGATATTAGCAATGATAATAATATTATCATTGATAAAATCACAGAGTTTATATTATAAAAACATTATGTTTATTTACTAAATAGAGAGATAGTGGTTGGAAAAAGAGAAAGATAGAGAGAGAGAAAAAAAAATAAACTTCACTGGGGAAACATTCTAGATATTAAAGTTTGTCTTTTTCTGAAGGGAGGTAGAATAAAAAAAAAGCTTTAGAAGGTCCCTAGTTAATGAGGATTCGCAGATAAAGAGAGGCCAGTTGTCAAGATATATTAAAACACCAAGAGATTATTTAAAATAAAAATGAAACTTTATTAAAATAGGAGCTAGTTATATTTGAGAGAAAGAGGCTGGGATTATATTTCACTAAATCTCTTAATTCATTTATCATCTGATGGCCGATCTGATATAAATTTATGTTTGCAGTATATGTGCATCTTATCCGAACTAATCTGAATCATGCGTAATAGGTAGGTGCATATGTAACATCGCAAGGTTTTAGAGAATGTATTGGTTTTCGAAAAATTATGCGTACATATTTTCACAAGGATTATAAAAGATAAAATTTACTAAAAATAAAAAAAAAATAACTTCACTGTCGCCTTATGAATTATTACTTATACATCCTAAAAACATGTTGTGCTCTTTAAAACTATTAATTATAAATTTAGGTTGCATGTAAATGGTTAAATATTTTATTTTATTCATTTAATGTTTATTTGTTTTCAGAGAAAAACGCATACAAATAGATCCTATCTTTGTATAACAAACATTTTTGCTCTTATGCCATTACAGATAGTCTTCCTTTTTCTCATTTTTTTTTTAATACACTACAAATATTTCAGCAATTTTACTATATGAATAACTCATAAATCATATTTGGTAAAAAGTCAGACAGTTAAAATAACCCCAATTATTAACAATTACGTAAATCTAAATATGTATGTATATATATATCACTTGCAAGACTCCAAGTGAAATAGACTTTTCTCTCGACCGCGTCATTGGTATTAAAAAAATGATGTTTTTTAGAAATAATATTTTCAACTTATAGTACACTATCCTCTGAACCGTCTCTGGTCATAACAAAAATAAAATTTCCTATAAATTGGACTGCTTTAACACGTAGTTGGTTTATTAGGCGAATCTTGGAGTTAGAGCATTATCTCTTATTTAGGCCTGAACGAGAATCATGGGAAATGATCCGTATACCTTGTTTTGGCTGAAAGGTGAGAGACTTATTTGAATCCTGCTGACAAACCTTAGATGAACTTTGATCCTAGTCCAAAGAGGGTTGAGCCTGGCATTGAAGTGAGCTTTTGTGGTTAGGAGTATTTGATGATGGCGCTGGAAGGCAGAGGGTCCCATCCAAACCTTACAGTTCCTTCCCATTGGGCCCTAATGGTCTGTTCCAACAGTAAAGGCTCTATATTCCATTTCGTTGAATATTTGTTTCGAACATATAAAATGCCAGATCGTAGTATGTGAAGCAGGTAAAGAAGAAACAAACTTTAAGATATTATTTTCAGTCAAGATCAAGAGTGTCCAACGTTTTTTTTACCTATAGGCACATTTATAGGTTATGTTACTGGGTGGGTATATATATGGGAGGTGGGTAGCTCAGTTTTAGGGTACTAAGCTTCCAATGCTAAAGGTACTAGGTTCGAATACCGACTTATGGCAGAAAAATTATTTATTCTGTTTCATTGGCCGTAAAGCGAGTATGGGATAGAGAGACCCTCCTTGGGCACACCCAGCCTCTATAAAGTGGGTACCCTTAATTAAATAATTGATTAAGGAGAAAATCTGGCGGTTGAGCGTGACCCTGGCTCGATCTTCTCTCTGTACAACCGCTGGCTTTGAAACAGTACTTTCCCTAAATATTACTGAACCCAAGACCCTTCATGGGTTGTAGTATATATATATATATATTGCTATGTACCTGGACTTCTACGTCGAGTAGGGGGTTCCAGGAACCCCCAGGAAAATATTTATATTTGTATTTATATCGGTTCCAGAAGAGAACCGATCAACAGAAAAATATATGAATTAGATATTTAAAGGTTAGATATCACAGACCCTATACTGTAGTATCCTAGATTGATTAATTTACTTCTTATTGAATTTCTTTTCGAAAGGTATCGTGTTTAAAAATTTACTATTTGTTTCTATAACTAATTGGTGGCATGGAAGGTAGATTGTATAATTACCAAGATGGTATAATAACGAATATATTTAGAAACTTAAATAAAACCAAAACATATATACACAATGAGTAATAAAGAATCATATTGGAGGAGAATGCTGTTTTGGATATGCCTGATTGAAGTTACTTATGATCTATTGATTTTATTAATGATTGCCAACACAATTTTACATATGTATAACTAAATGAATGTTTCTACTTAGCGGTTTCTTCATGGTCAGGGTTGTCGCCGGCATCTCTAGCTGTCTCTTCTCCTAGCTGTCTCTTCTCACCATCTTCCTCAAGTGTCCTCTTTCCAACCTTTCTGTCATCCCCCTCTCTTTTTTGTAGTTTTCTTTGATTGGCTGAATTTTCCTATTATAAGACTGTTTTCGGTCCTTTCGTGTTGTGTTCTTGCCACCCTCTATCCTTAAGTGTTTTATTGCCACTTACAAAAGGTTGCACTCAATAGTGGGTCGTTACTCTCCCTCAGGTAGCCGCACAGATGTTAGTGTTAGCAATTCTTATTTAGAATATATTTATTCATTGGAAATGATTAACTATATTCCACAGGTGAACCTTACAATACATAGCAATATATCAATAAAAAGAAATGTACGCCTATAGTGACATCTTTATTATTTCTAAAACTAATTTAAATATTTCTACTGAAAGAATAAAAACACCAAGCGTAATGTTATTGATTTCATGTAGTTTTCCAATATGAGATTAACACATTTTGAAATTATAATTAAAAATTAAGTAGAAATGATATGCTTCATATCCAGGTATAATGTAAATTCAATGCAGTGTTAGCAACATTCATTTATTATTTTCTCACGTTGTTTTAGCAGTGATAAATAAGGTCGAAATTTTAAAAAAACCTACTTGAATGTTAACCTTTATAACCTGACAATTTGCAATAAACCAATGATTTACACCTTCAAATTTTATATCCGTCTAATCTTATTAGATTTTCAAATATACATGTATTTAAGAACTTTTTTAAAAAACATTTGAAAAATAAACTGTTCTATAGGCAGCATGCGTCGTAAAATAATAATAAAGAAATCATTTGATATTTATTAAAATAACTATTCAACATTTTATTGAAAACTTATCGATTTATGGTAAAGCTTTTGCCAAGGTGATCAGCGATGAAGGTTATGTTGGACATAAGTGAGCATAAACTTCCATGGTGGTGCCCCAGAATTCTAGATTGGGGACCCCTGTTCAAGATAATCTTTATTGGCTTATACCACACTAAAAACATCTGAACGAATTTAAAGTCTTACTTGCATGTAATGCATAATTTGATATATTTTGTACTTGAATCATATTTTAAAATTTTTTTTTTGACATTTTTACCAATACATGGGACAAAATCTACTTGCCTGGAGCCGTAATTTGTAGTAAAAAAAAAAACGATTAAATATTCGCAGATTTCCATTTCCTATTTGTGTAGATGGGGTTTTCTTTTCATTCAATTTTTTTTTTAATTTTTTGTTGACTCTAAATGGTACTTTTCTTGTCATACCCCAACATTAAACAACCTAAGTTTTTTAAAAATATATATATAATCTAAATACGTTCCACTACCCAAAGAACTTTACTAGATTCGTATTTAGCAGAATTTATGTGGCGACAAAAAATTAGAGCGACGGATCCATTTATCTCAATTATAAAAGATATTCATTATTTAAACAATGATTGTCTTCTTGTTAATAAATAATTTTTTGCAACACATGTTTTTAATTCTTATTTTGCCATATTATAATTTTTAAAATGTGCTTGTAAGTTTTTTTACTGGGAGGGGGGAATAACAGAAAAGTACTGTCTAAGTAGTTTTCAATTGACAAATTTACCCTAAATATGGGTGATTACAAAATTTCAAGGAAATATGCTGAGCGGTGGTATAAACCAATTTACTAATACTTTTGTCGCCGTATAAGAGTCATGAAGGACTATAAGTCGGGGAAGTAAACATTTATAGGGGTAATAAAAACGGCAATAAATCGGTAAGTAAGAGATTGTAGCTGCGGGCGCACGGAGTTAATTACAGCAAGTTGGCAATGGACTTGTCCAGTCAGCTCTTCGCCTCTTCCAGCTATTTCCAATCAACACTTTAGAGCTCTCTTCTTGGAGGATGTCTAGCATTAGTGGTCAATTCCGTTCAGGGGTGCCCATCCACCCCCCATGGTCGATGGCGCAAGAACCTACCTGCCCCCCTCTTCCCAAGATATTTTATTGCTCACTTTTCTTGAAAACAGAAGAAGCTAAGGTAGAATAAAAAAAAAATCGTAGATCATGTGCAATTATTCTTGCTGCAGTCTGTTGTATGTTTTCCCCTTGTTTCATAGTCCGAAAATTCATAACTTCGTCGAAACTTGTCTCCTTCAAAAATTCGTCTAAAATATGCACTCCTCAAAAATTTGACGGCCGCACTTGCGCCATGAAACCACCTTCTTGGCACCCCTGATTCCGTTTGTCTGGAGTTCCTTTTGAGCTATACGCGATATCTTGAAAATTTTGTATTTTAACAACATTAAACATAACTCTGGATTTTAACATATGTTTTCCGACTTATTAATATATATGGCATTCCATAGCGATTCATTAATTAAAAAAAACTACTCACACAATACTTCTAAAAAAGGAAAAAAAGAAAAAAAAAAGGAAAAAAATCAATGTAAATAAGAAGAATTTGATTTTCGGTGAAATTCTCTCATTGTAATATTCTGGCCTAAAATGTTTCACATGTAAATCATATCGACCAGGCAGACATGAATTGAATTTCCTTAACCTATTTCTCACATCTCCCATAACCTTAGCTTATTCGAACTAATAACTTCTCCATACAAAAGCTGCTTTCTGTTAGCCCAGATTCATCCCAAAAAGTTTGTGAAAACAAAGCATGTCTTCAATAGCATATTTGAGCAAAAATAGTGAAAGTTTCGACAGTGTAGAAGAAGACGATAGCGACGATGAAGATCTCGCTACACTTGGCATAACGTTACCTCCATCAGAGATCTCTTTACCACGACCCATCTGCTCCAAAAAAGAAGAATGGATTTCAGAGAAGATCAAAAAGTGCATGGTAATTTGCGATTTCAAACAAGATTCCATAGATGATATTGAAGAAAAGACTGAGTCTCTGGACGACCTATTGGAATTTTTTATTCAAGATCCTGGCCCAATGTCACGGGATATTTATGGCCAACTGTTTGATATGTTTTCTGTTAACTTGTGTCGAAAAATACCACAGAGTGTCAAGAGGTGTTATGATCCTGAAGAAGACAGCCACACGATGGAAGAGGCCTGGCCTCACTTGAAGTTGGTTTACGAAATATTTGTTAGATTTTTGGAAATGTCCTGCCTACGGTTGGATTATTCCAAGGTGTATATGTCTGATAGGTTCCTTCACGAGATAATGGAACTCATGGATAGCGATGACCCGAGGGAGAAAGACCTGGCGAAGACTGTGGTTCATAGAATATATGCCAGGTTTTGTACCTCGAGGCCTTACTTGAGAAAGGAGTTATGTAATATATTACTTAAGTTCATATACGATACAGAATTTTTTAGCGGTATCAGTGAGATATTGGAAATTTTTTCTTGCATTATAAACGGACTAAGCGTACCTTTGTCCGAGGAATTCGTCGTTTTCCTTTCTAAAGTACTTGTCCCGCTGCACAAGGTGAAAAATCTTTCCACATTTCTACATCCGCTCACAATTTGTTTAGTTAACTTCCTTCACAAAGATACGAATACGTTCAAGATAATAATTGAAGGCTTGATTAAATACTGGCCCAAGACAAACAGCCAAAAAGAGGTACAGTTCCTCTCCGAGATCGAAGAGCTCTTCGAAGCTTTGGATTCTGAAGGATTCGGTCAAGTGTTGGGCCCGTTGGTTTCGCAGCTCTCTAAGTGTGTTCTTAGTCCACACTTCCAGGTCGTCGAGAGGTCGCTGTCATTATTCGACAATCCTTGGGCTTGGCATCTCGTCAAGGAACATTACACCAAGGTCCTACCATATTTGATGCCATCGCTGCTCCAGCGGAGGCGGGGGCACTGGAACCAGACTGTAGCCGTCTTGGTAAACAACATCCTCAAAAAGTTCAAAGAACTTGATCCGCCATTCTTCGAAAATGTAGTGAGAGAATGCATGAAACCGCCGGCCGAGCCAAAAAAGACCCGTAAATCCCGCAACAACGTCGATGAAGACAGCCTAGAGGAAGGGATTTGGGGCTCTGAGGAAGACAACTTCGAAGGCTATTTTCCGAATACCTTCAGCGGGAGAGGAGATGAGATAGAAAAGTAGACATTAATGAAATTCAAAGTCCAATTTCTTCATTTTAAATACATTATTGATAAATTTAATTTGTTTATTGTTATTTTATCTATGTGTGCTATCAAAGCATAATATATAAATATTTCATCAAATACTTTTTGCAAAAGGAAAATATAATAATGATTTTATTATTATTAAAAGTTAAATTTATAACTTTTCTATGAAACAATTAGACCCTCTCTCATTTATGTAGGTACCTATTTTTTCGTTTTTTTTACTGCATATTACATTACTGACAATCACAAAGTGTATAACAGTTACATAAGCTTCTATAAATTTCGATCCTAGGCAGCTTTTTAAATACACTTTTAACTTTAGCGGTTTTTACATACATGTGCGGTTGCGGTTTTTACATACGCAGTTGTATTGATATTTTTTTATGAACAGCTTCCTTATTGTTACTAAACACTTATTAGCAAACTGGTGAATGTATTGTTGACTGTAAAAAGAATTGTAAGGGGATTTGGTTTAATGGTATATTCATTGATGGTATATGTAAAAATAATATTTATTAACAAGCGGACTTAAAATTTTCATCTCTCTTTCAAAGTGAACTGATGTCACTAAAAATCTCCAAATGTACGTTATTCGGTGGTGATAAACGGCTTGAGAACTTTATTCTAACTAGCACGCTATAATAAATAAAATGCATATGTAAATTGAAGCAATCCCTCAGGAATCCAGCGATCCTTCAGCCTCTGCACAACAATGTATGTCGCAATGACTGACAATAGACTACGATATGGCAAAAAGTAGATGATAGATGGAATCGATAAATATGTTGCGAAGGTATATGCTGTAAACCGCAAAGCATTAGTCCAAGACAGACAGAGTTAGGGCTAGTTCTGACATCTGAGGTCTGCAAGGTCTGTAAATTCTACAGAGTCAACAAATCATTAATATATTGCTTACTAACTAAATAATGTATATTAATTAATTAAATTATTGTTATAAAAATAAATTTGTCATTGTCATAGAAGAACAGCTACTGCTAAAAGGCATAGTATGTAATAAATACTATCGAAGAGAGACCGGAATGCCTGAATGGGCTAAAACGTTTCCAATAGGTAATGAAACTTAAGCAACGTCAATCGTGGCAAGTACGTGGATGAGTGACCGCTGGAATGGGGTCACCATCCATTCTTCCCTCGCCTAGTGTAATTTAATCGAAAGTCACGATGTGGTTTTCCAGGATGTCAGTGACCGCCCAGAGGTTCGGACTAAAGAAGGAATGTTTCAGGAGACAAAATATAGATGCGTCTGTTGACTCTGAGCAGCCATAACCCATAGATCAAAACCGATTTGTCTGTCATAATCCTTGAACAAGAGCCGATCGGTGGAAAAATTGGTTCCAAGGGAAAAAACCTATGGCGTTTTGAGTAGTCTGCCGAAATGGAGACGGTAGATGAAACATGGAGATGGTCCGTAGTAGCATTGATTGGATGACCTCCATGTTACCTGTACTCCAGCAACCCGCTAGCAACATAAGTCTGAAAGAAGACCTCTTAGCGCGGCCAAACATCTACAACATCTATATCGCCAATCAAAAAATAGAACAGCTAAATTGATAGCTATTTATGGTATGGCTCTGTGGGATATAGTGCGATAGAATTATAATAAATTTTATCTTTTCGATATATAAATGCGACGATGCTTAGCCGATGCAGACCTTCCTCAAAGATATAGATGCCGTTGGACCGGTTGGAGCCCGGAAACCAGGCATCAGCTTTATCTCTTCACGGAGACAGATGGGGCCTTTAACCTCTTCTATCCAGTCTTTGGTCCAGTGTAACTGTCCCCGGAATATTTCGCTTTTAATGTTTATTGGTTTCATTAACCTATTATATTATCTCTTAATGGTATATTTTAAGAGTAATAAAAATTATTGTAATAATCGTCGATTTTGTAATACCTAATTAGGGTAATACCTAATTTGGGTAAAACAAAATAATTAAATTATTTTTAAAACAAAAAATCCAAAATTATAGAGATTTTTTTTTTCTGTTGTCATTATAGGTCATGTAGATATTTGTTCGCCTTAATAAGCCTGCTCTATCTGTGCCTCGTTTGGGCTATTTCTTTCCAGTTATCTGCACGCAGCTCTATTGCATGTTTGTTAATTCTATCTATCCTTCTGTTTCTTAGGCTTGAAAGTGGTCTTTTGTCTTCTATTGAGGCATTCATTGTTACATAGAGGTTTCCAGATGGATTGATACCAGCTGCATGTCATAATGCCTTAACCTCATCTTAACCTCCGTTCCTTCATATCATGGTTTTTTTTTTTTTTTTTTTTTTTTTTTTTTTTTTTTTTTTTTGTTTTTGGTCCTTCCCTTCCTCGCCGTTAAGGCTATACGGGATTTTCCCGGGCCAGGGAGTGTGGGCGGGGATTTAAAAGACTCCCTCGGCACCGGGATGCGAACTCGTGACTATTTTTATATCTTTAATTCATATGTCAGGTTGCCAGGCAACGGCGGTGCAGTGCACACGCTTTAGCCCATTCGGCTACCCCGCCCCCATATCATGGTATATTGATTTACCAGTTTCTTAAAGGTCTTTCTTTTCCACGTGTTACTATTGATAGTGCTATATCGTGTTATATTTTTAGTGATCCCTGATCGCTCCGGTTATCGTGCGGAGGATTTTTCTCTCAAATATTTCAATACTTTTTTTTAGGATGCTGGTTAGTGCCCAAATCTCACAGCCAAATATTAGAACTGATATTATCATAGCATTGTACACCCTTAATTTGAGATTTGGATACCTTCGAAAGGGAGAAGAAAGGTCTGTTTGCGCTTTTTATACGCTGTTATGTTTCTGACCGTTGTTCATTCATTTTCCTTCTACGCAGATCCTGTTATTGGGGTCAAATTTTCGGCTCATTATCATATATTTTGTTTTGTGTTCATTTACTTGTCCGATTTGCTCTGCCTCTCTTATCAGAGTCTTAGCGAATTACGAATATCTTCTTGACTATTTCTTAGGACCGATATATTATATAAAGCATAGATATAAAAATATTAATATAAAAAAATAAAAATTAATCAAGTAGAAAATGGTTAGAGGTGTGGAATCAAGAAGAAAACACATAGTAAGTTAAAGTAAATAATATTAAATTTATTATTTGCTTTGGCCATTTAATTTTTTTTATTTCTTAATGACATTTACAACTGTATTACATAAATACATCAAGTAAATTTGGACATAATAGATATAATGACATGAATACACTTGCTGAGTAACTACCCAATGGTAGCACTCTAATGATATGACTACATTAGAAGATCACGGGGGCCCATTTAATAAAGGCCTTCATTATTTCACCATATCCCCGTTTCCCCAATCTCTTCCAATTTATTTCCATACTCTTACACAGCTCGGTATTCAGTAACTCCTCGAAGTACAGCTTTTTTTCTGTTACTTTCTTCACCGACCCCTTACCTATCTTATCCTTGATTATATATATATATATATTGGAACATAAAGAATCAATGTCAAAAACTCTAATACATAGAAAGGAGCATCGACTATTGTTCGAAGGACTTTAGACTGGAAGGATTGGATGCGCTTGATGTTAGAAAATTTTGCTGATCCCCACAGTTCTAGTCCGTAAGTCCAAATAGGTTTCAGTATTGTCTTGTAGATCAGTAGCTTGTTTTCAATGGAAAGTTTAGATTTTCTGCTTAGTAGTCGGTATAGTTGGCCGTATCGTCGGTTGAGTTCTTGTCTTTTGAGTCTAGTATGCGGGTTCCAAGTTAGTCTTCGGTCTAAATGAAAGCCAAGATACCGGACTGTGTCTGAATAAGGAAGCTGGATGGAATTAAAGAGTACTGGTGGACAGGAATTGCGTCGGAGTGTAAAAGTAATATGTTGCGCCGACAAAACCCTACATCATGACCTTAACATCCCATTTGTCCTAGACCTTATCCCAGAAAAGTTCTCCAAATTTCACCAGAACCTTACTTACCACCCAAATCCTCTTGCACAATCCCTATCAAGCATCTCCCATCCCTATAATCCTCCAAGAAGGTTGAAACGGCAGTGGCCTCGCGACCTTTTGTAAATTATATAAATTGGAGTTCTGGCAATGGCCAGATTCTTCACTCAAGACATATGTGTATGTGGCTAAAGTGCTCTCGACCAATCTCCGCTGGCTTTAGTACCAGTGACGCGGTTGGAAGAGTAGCGCAGGGTTCTCCTGGAGTTCCCTCGCCTGATTGTATATAGTTATGCATGTTATTTATTTATTTTTTTTTCCTTAGTTTTAATTTTCTTATTTTTTAGGTTATTTTATTTTATTGTCTATTGTATATACTTTTGATTATTATTTTGTTCTATTTATTTTATTTTTTTGTACATATGGTGTGAATGTCATCCTACCTCACTATAACCAATGTCGAACAGACAGATTGTTATATTACTCAATAAAGAAATATAAAAAAAAAAAAGGAAAAAAAAAAAAAAAAAAAAAAAAAACTCTAAAGTCTCGAAGTACTCCAGAAAAGCATCTGGTTAGGGTATTAATTATTTATTACGACTATTTAAAAAAAATAAAATTATCTTATAACATTTTAAATGTTTTATTACATTTATATGCCTGAATTAAAAATTCACAAGCAATGTCAAAAACCGACAACTTTTCTATTCCTTGAATTTACATTCATTGAAATCTCAGTTTTCTTTTCTTTTCAAAACGCAGTCTCTTACCTTAATTTACCTCAGGCACTAGCGGGTACAGAATTTCATTTTGGGGAGCTTCAGCCCGAATATAATTACTTTGGAAGAAAAAGAAAAAAATAAATAACTATACGGAGTGGTGTTTGATTGATTCTTTATGTATTATTAAATGAAGTTAAACGAACAATAATACCTTTGGAGATAATTTTTTTCATAAGACTTGGTAATATTTTGCCATTTTTTTGAGGAGGGGAGGGAGTCTTCAGCCCGAAAGCAATTTTCTATTTTAAACGTACCAGTGAATTTATTTGTTCACTTGTGTTATCAACAGTTCTTTAAACATGTGACTGAAAAG